CTACTGGGATTTTCACGCACAACCATCTCTAGGGTTTACAGAGAATGGTCCGAAAAAGAAAAAACATCCAGTGAGCGGCAGTCCTGTGGGCGGAAGTGGCTTTAAGTATCCGTGGCCCCTGGAGCAATTTAGTTGAATAGCCCTGCTCTAGAGTAGCACAATAAAATGTAATTTTGATAAATTCATTTAAGTGCAATCAGAAAACATTCACTTTTCTTCTTCAAAAACCTTAAGAGACGGACTGTATAAATATAGAAAACTTTTTTTTGTAAAAATTGTCCAGCCAAATCCACTTTTCATTACAGTAAAATACATTCTGGGTAGCAATGTGATGTTTGTGAACAATCCAAATCTTTTGAACATCTCCTTACAACAAATAATAGGAACTGAGTTTCAAACAGTAAAGAGCGGTTCATAGTTTGTTTTTTACTCCTCGTAATATCTTTATTTTTTCCTTCTTAACCACAGAGACAATTGCTCCTTGTTCACCTATTTTTTTTTACTGAAAACAGGAAGAGGGGTAAAGGTGTTGAGGTGGGGGATCTGCTTAACCAAACACATGGTTCTGTCAAAGTGATGTGATGATGACATAACTCATTCAAAATCAAACGATTCTACGAAACAAGCCGATTATTAAGATCCGAGTCCCTTCAGAGAGCCATCTGCCCCGTCTGTAGTTCTGGTTTTATGTGAAAAAAGTTACACACAACATTATGAAGTTGTGTCTAAACACGCATGCTTTACAGCTGAGAAATAGTGACTTTCTCACCATAAACTTTCAGATCGTATTCTTTGTGCTGTTCTCCTCCAGCATTRACTGCCACACAGGTGTATCTGCCGGTGTCACTGACCTGGGCGCTGCTCAGAGACAAGATTCTGCCACCAGATAACACCTGAGATGAAAACAGAGKCCAGGTCTGAACACTCAACCTTATCAACATGCATTCATAAAAAGTGTTTCATAAAGAAAAGTTAACATATATTTAAACTATATAATTTTTTTTCTTCTGCTCTTGGTGAAGGTAGAAAATTCCCCCCCTTCTCTTTTCAACCTTTCCTCATCTACCCTGCTTTGCTGCATTTTTTGGAGCCTCTCTTGTATATCTTTTGAAACTGGAAATTATGGATCTGGTCAGCTGGTTACACAGTTTCATTCCACAGATGTTCACACATATGCATACAACATTTTCACAGCTTCAGACACATCCCCCTAAACTCACTGCTTTCACTGCCTCCCTCCATCCATTTCACTCCACCACCACCCTCCCCAGTCTCCCTTACCCCACTATCCTTTGATCTATGCCCTATGCAGAGGTTTTTTTTTTGTTTTTTTTTTTGTAACCTCATATTGTGTCCTGAGAGGACACAGTAATATATACAATATTTATATATAAATAATAATTTCCCTTTGAGATCAAATTTAAGATATGTTTGGAAGGGCACCTGTATGCCATGTGAAACGCTTGCCACAGGGCTGCCATCTTTTAACCACGTCAGACTGGGCAGAGGAACCCCGGAGGCCTCACACTCCAGCTCAGTGGCCTCGTTCACCACGACTGTGACCGTACCGCCTCGGCTGGAAATAACCGGAGGTACTATAAGACACACGAGTGTAAAACATATTAGACATCAGACCTTGTGAAACACTAAACTGAGCAAATCTTTGTCTAATGAAAGCCAACCCTACCAAATACTTGCAGGCTGTACAGTATCTCTGCAACTCCAGCCAGGTTGACGGCCACACATCTGTACATTCCAGCATCAGACAGCTGAGCCTGTTCAATCTCCAGCACYTGGCCCCGCTTCAGCATTGACCAGCTGGCTGCTCCGGCCAGAGGGCGGCCATCTTTGAACCACGTGACGGCTGAAACATAAAAATAATCATCAGTTTAATATATTTTTTAAAATAATTCATGTCTTGTTCTATGAAAAATGTTAAAACTTGTATTAAACTGCAGTTGCTCAGTAATAGAATCATCCTTTTTTTTAGTCCTAAGTTTTGCAAAAAAATAAAAATAAAAATCTGTGATCAATCTCACCAGGTAAAGGTCTTCCTGTGGCCGTGCACTCCAGCTCAGTGGAAAAACCAGACAGGATGGTTCGGTTGATGATGTCTCCAGAGGAGGAGATGCTTGGAGGCTCTGAGAGACAAAAACAGTGATAAATAAAAAAATACTATCTATTTGCATGGTATCCTAATTTCTTGATCACAGATGTTGGACAGAATGAAGATTTAAACCACAACCCAGGAAATGAGTGAGACRGAGGAAAATGTGTGGCACATCTGGACTTTACCATGAACACTCAGTCGGATGTGCTGTTTAGCTTCACCGGCWGCATTTGTGGCCAGGCAGGTGTATTTCCCAGAATCCTCCAGTCTTGCTTCTGTGATCTTAAGTGTCSTTCCTGCTGAGTGCAGCTGTGGTTAAAGACACAGAGTTTAGGGAGGTGATTACATAGGAGCATAAAAGTATGCTCCTAAAATTCATCAGTCAGATATTCTGTTGGGAAACTAAGTTTCAGTTTTAAATGAAATATCTTCATGTGATACACAAAACAACAMAAATATTAATTTTACGATTTCCACTGAGAATAAAAAAAAAAATAATTTTGAGTTGCTTGCAGCTAGGAATAAAGGTTTTGGGACAGAAGTGTGTTACTAAAAAGCTTTTTTTTTTCTTGCTTTTGTAATTTTAGTCTAATTTAATTTCTTTTTATGACAGTGTTAAAATACTCTACATCACTTGTGTCGAATTCACAGCCCACGGGCCAAAAGAAACCTGCCAAAAAAGCCATCCCCACTTCAAAAAAATTGTTTTTTTTAAGCTCTGTATTAATGTCAAAATAAGCTACTGAAGCATCGACCATAAACTACATCTCCCATAATGAATGTTAATTAGGTAGGGAATTACCTGTCAGAAAGTGGGAGAGTTCAGAATTCAAGACTTACCGCAAATCAACAGTGAGTAAAACGCTCCTACTTTTACTTAATAGTATTTCTGTATATTTATTTCACATTTAGTCAGTCATACATGTAGTACTTTTCAGTATTTATAAGAGGACGTGTTAAACTGATGTTTCTATGCAGGAAATACCATGTAGAGCTCAGTTAATGTTTGTTAGCGGTGCTCAGTGAGACAAGGAATGTGACGTTGCATATTTTAACAAAGTTAAACATGAAATGTTGACGTTAATTACTTACTCCTCTGGCTAATAAATGTGTTCTTGCTTCGTAGAGGTTTTTTTTTATAAACACCATGTATCATATTTCGTTGATATAATATGATGTTTTGGTTTTTTTTCCTCATCTAACTTTCTGTGGTATTTTCATTTTTTTCTTTTTAAAGGTAGCGTGACCCCTGCTGGTTGCCGCATGACCTGATCTCATGTTCCCCCATGTTTTTGTCATGTGTCTCTTGAATGGGTGTTCTTAAATGTAATTTCATTGTGCTCTGTACAATTACAATAAAGGCATCATCAAATCAAATCAATTACAACTGTCCTTTTGAGGGCCACCATAATACTCATGTGGCCCTCTGAAAATGAATTTGACACCCCTGAATGGGTGACAAAAGGTCAGAAACAATAACAAACATTTATGACCTGCAATTTTTTTGTTTTTTATTTTCTGAAGAGTCTTTATTGCTGTTATTTTCATCTTGACATTCAATAAAATAAAGTCCCACAGTTTTAACAGACTGTCAGAAAACATTTCTGCATGTACGATTTGCCTGCATTTATCTTTAAGTTAAACTCAGTCAATCACCTTGAGGTGCTCTTTTGTTGTGTCCACAGGTCGRCCATCTTTAATCCAGGTAATGCTGGGAGGAGGGATGCCACTGGAGACACACTCCAAACTGATGGTCTTCTGAAGAACCACTGAACGCTCGGGAGGTCCGGCCCCTCGGATGGTTGGAGGAACTGAGGAAAATGTTATTTATTTAAAACCATTTTATAAATGTAATGAGGCATAAATAAATAGCATAACAGGGTTATTTACCCAAAATGGAAGCTTTCCTGCAGCTTATATTTATCAGAGCAGATAAATTAAACTAAAAAGCATGTAAAAGTACTGAGATGTTTTCTTTATTCTCAGTAACTTGTGTTATATTTTACCTTGCACTATAACACTGAAGTTCTTCTCGTGSTCTCCTGCCTCATTAGTGGCCACACACTGAAAACGAGCCGTGTCCGAGACCTGAGCGCGGGAAACGACCAGCCGTCTCCCGCTCGCTGCGACMCGCAACCCTTCCCCCTGCCTGACTGGTTTCCCATCCTTGTACCAGCTGCAAACAAGCAGATTTATGATGACTGTGTGCATCTTTGCGTGTTTGTTTACACGTTGGCCGGATGTCTTACGTGATGACAGGCGTAGGTGTTCCTGTAGCGTGACACTCRAGCTCCAACGGGCTGTTGACTGTAACTGTGCTGAGCGTCACCTCCTCAGATCCTTCAATGGAAGGAGGAACTACGGAAAACAAAAGTGATTTCACACTTCATCACACAAAATAGCAAAAAATAAGCTATTAACCTCAGTATTCAATTCTTGACAATTTCTATAACTCGGTATAAGGCCCATTTTAGGTCTCTCTTGAAAGAGGTTTTTAATCTCAATGGGACTTCCTGGTTAAATAAAGGTTAAATAAAAAACGCATAACTCCTGGAAAAAGAAAATTGGTAATACAGTCTTTAGTTCTACTTCATCTTGACTGTCCTGCGGTGAGGTCCAGCGCCGCAAACAAAGATTTGGGTCAGTTGGAAATTGTTCAAAACAAAGCTGCAAGATGAGCACTTGATTAGAGCCAGTGTGGATTTCATCTATCGTGGTTTAAGGTCGATGATAGACTTAAATACAGCCTTTTTCCCTTTTACATTACATTTGGATTTTACACAAACCTTTTGTTGTTTTCTCACAATTATTACCTTTAATAGACATGGTTTTATTACAAGACAAGCTTCTGTTGGTACTTTCATACTACCTCTGAAATAACCTCTTTTAA